AGGGTGATGAAGACAGACTGCTCTTTTGGCTGAGATAGGCGACCCATCGTGCCACTGTTTGTGCTTGGGCCACCCCTGTCTTAGGAAGGTGGGTCAGATCTTTCACCCACCCCTGAATTGGCAGAGTGGTCTTGACTATAACTGCAGCTGTTTGAGTTACTGGCTCTACTGCCTGTAATGCCAAATAGGCAGCCAATAACTGTTTGTCAATCATACTGTATCTTTCTTCTGCTCCGTGCCAAACCTGAGACCAGAAACCAATGGGGGTCCGAACAGAACTCTGGCGTTGCCACAGGCCCCAACCTAAGCAGTCTTGAGTAACATGAACGTCCAACTCGGCTGGGAGGGTAGGATCGAATACACCCAATGCCTGGGCTTGTTTAACTGCCAGTTTCGCTTGTTGGAAAGCATCCTGTTCGGTTTTCCCCCAGTCCCATAGCTGCCCCTTTTTTTCTGAGTCTGTATAGTGGCCTTAGCAGCTGCGCTAGGTGAGGTATAAAGGAACGCCTGTAACCCAACGTACCTAGAACCTCTTGCAGCTGCTTTGATGTTGTAGGGACTGGGAATGCCTGAACCTTATCTATAACAGCACTGGGTAGCACTCTGGTCTTTCCTGACCAAACCACCCCCACGAATTTTACGGACAGGCCTGGACCTTGCACCTTTTGGGGATTTATAGCCCATCCCCTCTGTTGTAAATAGGCTGTTAATGAATTTTCTGCCTGTCCTACTGCCTCCAATGAGTCAGATGTCAACAGGAGATCATCAATATAATGATATAGGTTAACATCATCAGGTTTTCTCCAATCAGCCAGGTCACACACCACTAGATTGTGACAATACGTTGGTGAATGCACGTACCCCTGTGGCAGGATCTGAAAGGTCCACTGCCTGCCTCCCCACGTAAACGCAAACTGATCTTGTGATTCCTCAGCAGTTGGCATACTGAAGGATGCATTTGCTAGATCTAGAACACAATGATAGGTTTTTATCTCCCTACTCAATGCGTCTATTAGGGAGGCAATATTGGGTATGGCCGCATGAATAGGTTGCGTGACCTTATTTAATTCTCTGTAATCCACTGTCATTCTCCATGTGCCATCTGACTTCCGCACTGGCCATATGGGGGAGTTACATGGGCTGTGTGCAGGTCTTATAATGCCCACTTTTTCCAATTCCTGCACCGTTCTCAATATTTCATCTTGCCCACCCAGGAGTCTATACTGTCTGACATTAGTAATCTGGCACAGCTTCGGCAGGCAAATAGGCCCATGTTTCGCATGGCCTCTTAATATTGCCTGCACCGCCTGGATACTGATACATCTCTGTCTAAGTCTGAACTCTCCCACAGTTGTTTGGAGAGCCAGACCCCATAGAACATCTATGCCCAGGATATATTCTTGGACTGGGGCAATAGACACCTTGTACTCCTGGGGTGGGAGACGCCCAACCCCCAATTTTAACCATGTTTGGGTGACAGGAATAGTCTGTCCCCCAAAAACCACCAATCGTCACTCTGTCGCCATCAAATTTGGTCGGATCTTCGTAGATAATTGACATTTCTGCTGCAGTGTCTACCAATGCCATCACTCTCTGAATATTTTTTTCGGGACCAATAAACCGCTAGTTCTACATAGGGCCTCCCGTCCCATCTGGAGGCCCTACGGGGACTAACATCCCATGACATGCCATGAGTTGTGCTAGGGCCAATTCTTTTGCTTCCGATGGCTCAGGCATTGTGGCCCAAGACACGTGAGGTGGCTTTTTTTTTTTTTTTTCCTATTTGGAACAATAAAATCTTCTAGGTTCCATGTTGTTGTTGGTACCCTCTCTATAACCCTTATCCTTGATTTCTTAGGGTAGTTCTGGAATTTTTGATTGTCCTTTAGTTGTCTCCAGAGCTGGAGAAAGACACGGTTGGGCTGGCGGTCGATCTTAGCAAATTGGACCCCAGCCTGAATTAATTCATTAAACATTTGTTTTCGGGAGACCCTATTGGGTCCCGATGGAGGAGCTCGAGTAGCCGGCATTTTTGTTTTAGCTACCTGCAGGACCTCTGCTTCTTCCAACTTCCAAATATTGTGCCTAGTCCGCAGGCGTTCTGTTTCTCCCAGGATGACCACTAACTGGGCAGCCCACCAGACTACAGCATCTGAGGCCACCAGGGGATTTAATATAGAGACTAGGGTACCATAGAGATGGGAGGGAGCTTGCTGTAGAATCAATTCTCTCATCCCTGCTGAGAATTTGACCATATCAAGGCCATTACATGTGTCTTCTTGAATTGCTTCCCTTACGCCTAGTTCACGGATATAATTCTGAAGATCCTCCATGGAGGACCACATCTCTGTATGTAGAGGCATACCAGATTTATTCAGCCATACCATAGGGCAGGCCACCATTAACCATTCTAGTACGGAATGGTTTTCATCACGATATTGATGACCCACATATAACCTCTGTCTGAGAGCAGGATGGACAGTCATGGAGGCCAGCTTGG